TTGGAAATAAAACATCGACAAAGTTTATCTATAGTACTAATAAACCGTACTAACTTAGGAGGACAATTGGTAGATCACTAATTGTTTAGTTCGGACGGGACTTCCTATTTAGGAGCTCGCGGACATGGTCCGACATATTGTGCATTACAAGTATATAAATTCAATGGCTGCGAATAAAGCGCTTAGTTTTATTAACCTTTTCTTATTCTTACTTCCATATATAAGGATGAATGTAAATAGTGAAACTGTCCCTCAAGGCGGCAATAGTGTTGTTGAAGAAGACAAAGGTGTCGTTGATGATGACCAAGGTGTCGTTGATGATGACCGAGGTGTCCCTGAAGAGTGCAATAGTGCTCTTGAAACTCGTCTTATTCTAATGCACTTGTTGTTGGCAGAGCCAGACCGTCTAATTGTTAGAGATCTTGATAAGGATTGTGAATTGACCAAAGAAAAAGACCCTGAAAAGAACAATAGTGTTCTTGAAGGTGATAATGATGTGATTGAAGAGGACAAAGGTGACTCTGAAGAGCGCAACAGTGTTCTGGAAGTTAAGCTTGCTATAAAAAACTTGTTAACGGCAGAACCAGACCATCCAAAGGTTATAGAGATTATTGAGCGATTCATTAGTCAATTGGCCAAAGAACAACACCCCGGAATGGTTCGAAATAGTGTTGTTGAAGGTGACAATGATGCTCAAGGGGAACAAGGTATCTCGGAAGAGCTCGATGGTGTTCTGGAAGTCAAACTTGCTATAAAAAACTTGTTATCAGCAGAACCAGACCATCCAAAGGTTAAAGAGATTATTGAGTGGTTGATTAGTCAATTGAGCAAAGTGCAAGTCCCTGAGAAAGGTGAAAACAAATTCAAACGTTTCCTCATACGTTTCAAAAGATTGTTTAAAGGCACCAAGAGGGAATCTCTGAATTCACAAACTCAAAATACAACAATTCAGAATGGTCCACCTCCAGAAGTGCCACTTCGTACTGATGGCCCATTATTACCGTCATCATATGTTAGAGATCACAATATTAACTTTCGTACTAAACCTCACTCAATAAGTATGATGTTAATAACTATGATAGCTGTCATATTGGGGTTGGTTGCCTTTTGCTTGGCAGTAGGTTTGCCTATTCCTTATTGGGGTTCTTGTATCTTCTGTTCTGCCACTTTTGCTGCTTTCTTTATTGTATACCAAATAAATAAGAGGCGATGGGTATTCTGAATCAGAAATAGGTGTGTTATATGCAATGATGCAACTAATACGAGTGATTGTTATAACTTTTTTGGGATTTATAAAGTTAACTGACTATAGCTCATACCTATTAGCCACACAAAATTTGCATGCTCGTCTCTGCTACACTGATAGCAATACCACCACAAGATTCCCCTGATCAAACCGATTCGTGCTTTAATTTATTGCAAAGGACTGAGCCTTTTGTGTTACTGTCCTTATCGCTGATGCTACCATGTGTACATCGAAAACATATACGGGTGTTACCATACAGAAATATCAACTTTTGCAACTCATTCCAAACCTTCAGTGTTTACTACCAATCTATTCCTCTAATACAGGCGATCTAGATGATTTACAGTTTATCAAAAATTTGAACTTCATCGGCCTCCTACAATTACAAAAGGTGGAAACCCTTACCATCATTTCATGATATCCCTTTTCGCTTTGAACTCCTTGATGGTGTCAATGAATGGATCTGAAATATTTTTGACATATTTGACAAAAAATCGAAATGATAATTGGTATCTCACAACCTACTTTACTTCATTATCATCAAATTGAAAAATGAAAATGCGTTAGGTATATTAATTTTGGAATCTTATGTGGTTATATTTCATATCCATCTCCTTATAGGTGGGGAATTGTTTGCTTATATATAGCAAGTTTTATTTTATAGATATCAGAGAGTGTTCTGTATGTACAGAAATACAGAGTATCCATTGCTAGGTCTGTAAACGTTGTATGGCCCAATACCTATGGAGTAATTACCTGTTCAATGCACTAAATTCTTTACTGGACCCAGAATTCACCATTCCAATAATGAGAATTCGCAGCCAAAAATCAATTATTTCACTAAATCTACCTTGAAGCTTAAACATTTCACAAAGGGTCTTATAGGCATTGAAGTTAGAATGAAGCTTGATCGTAGAGACAAAATAAAATCTGCGCTGATTAAGCATAGTTACTTCATTAGCTTGACATAAATTAGGTTTGGATACAAAACTCCTATCTGAACTTCTCAGCGTCTTCTGCTTCCAATACGACTTATATCATGCGGTCTTCAGGAGGTTACCAACTCCGCTCAATGGTGCTTGGGAATCAAAATTATCATCATCATCATCATCACCATCATCATCATCATAATCATCAATATTCCTTATTTGAAAGGTTTTGTTCAGCTTATGAAATTTGGTCTGCCAATTCTTTATTCTGTTTATGACTTAATCGAATAGATATAAAAGGATGCCAAGCTTCAAAGTTATTCTTTAATCGGGACAATATCATAAAAGGCTACTAACTTTAAGATATAATGAATAGCGAGGAGACCTTCTCCATCTCAGATGAGAGCTTTGGTCAGTGGTTGGCATTCGCTTTGTTTGTATTTTTCCTCTTAATTGCGATTGTTCTTCTAGTTGTGACCATTTCCGGTGAGTATTCATACCCGTGGCATTCATATGTGTTCTTTTGTCTTTCTGAAGCTGCTTTGTCGGTTATTTACTTTATACATAGACTTAAAAAGATGGAAAGAGTATAGCTTTGTTTCTATGGTGTGTGCGGGTTACTGGAAAATGCCAGAGCTACCGCATGGATTTGATAATCACTGGGTGCAAAACGGGCATTCATGTTCAGAATGTTGGATACCATCGGGCGTAAATACTGAAGTGGAAAGAAGGAGGTAAAATGATGTTGAATCCCAAAAAGAGGCTTAACCGAGAAGGACAACGAAGGATGAGATGTTGAGTGGTAAATGAAATGTAAAGTAACAAGT